ATACCTTATCTTTGATATACCTTTACCTTTGAAGAGTTTCGAGAGTTTCACTATTCTCGAGTCCGGCCATGGGCCAGGCTAGTCTGGTACTTGCCTGATCATCCAGGCTGTTGCTGCTGAAGGCCCACTGCCCCACATATCCATCACAGCCTGGTTGATCTGGCACCTGGTGAAGATACTTGTCCAGTTTCCTCTTGAAGGCTTCTACACTTGTTCCAGCCATGTTTCTGATATCTTCTAGTAAGATGATGAATAGTCTAGGGTGTTGATATAGTGTTCTTTTATTGTCCCCTCCGCACCTGGTTACCTGGAATAACCTCCAGGTAACCAGGTAACCCCTGCTTCTCACTGGGTTTATTTTGCACTTCCTCCCATATCTCTCACTCCAGTATGTTGTTATGGCAGTGTGCAGATTTGGGACCAGGCCCTCGAGTACTTTCCAGGTATATATTATCATGAATCTCTCTCTCTCCTCCGCTCCAATGAGTACCTGTTCAAGACTTGAAGGCGTTCCCAGTAATTTAGTTGCTTTACTGGCTCAATGTGAGCCGTAAACGTTCTCTGAATTTGTTCCAGCAATGATAATTCTGCTTTGAACGGGGCCGTCAGCACTGAGCAATATTCTAAATGAGGGGTCAGCACTAAATCAAAATCGTAAGGGTTACACAGCGCCAGGGTAATGGGAAACAATCTGGATCGATCCATGGAAAGGAAGGCTAGATCCCATTCGCAAGCTCAAAAAGATACTCACCAGCATCAAGATATATCCTTTGATAAGCATAATAATAATAATAATAATAATAATAATAATAATAATAATAATAATAATATATTGACCTACTGCAAATGACGTACTGTAGACAAGTTAAAAACAGAACGTCGCAGAAAAATCTTTCATTGGGACACAGTTTCGCTCCGTGTACGTAAGTTTTGCCGAGTCATACCCTGGTGACGTTTTGCCGGGAGTGAAACACTGTCCAAATGAAGCTTGTTTTGCAACTTATCCTTGCTTTACTGATTATTAATAGAACTATTGATACTGTTAACTTGAAGTACCAAGTATTTTTTTTAATATCATTTCTCAATAACTATCGTATAAAAACAGGAGAGTGTAAACACAGCCACGTTTTCTGCCAGGTCTGATAAAGCTGAAATCTACACTTTCCAAACTTTTACATTTTCCTGGGCTGCTCGCTGCTGGTTCCGGAAGACCCAACTTTAAAATATTCTTAAAGCGGAGTGTTGTAAAAATGGGACTATGAGATGTCGTTTGGCTGCCATGGTCACGAACTAAATGCATACTAGTGTCCTTAGTCTGAATTCTGGCCACGGGAACTTCAAGGAATATTTCAGATATCGTAATTATTAAAAACTTGAAAGCTGAAAATTCAGTGTCGTTCAGAGTTTAAATCCCTGAAGTTTCCTGTAATAATTTTGAATTAGGTTTAATGTAGTTTACAGAATATATCATATTCCTACTAGCTTGTCGTGAAAAAAAAACCGGGTTCACAATTATCCAGGCAAATAAGGGATATACTTACTGTCTCATTTGGTGAAGTAGTGATTATAGAGCCATTTATTTATTCATGAAAGAGCTAAAATGCCAAAGGTAAGAACAGGTTGATTCTCACCTTCCATTAGCCTTTGCACTCTCAGTGGGTAGCCTTTCTCTTGGTGGATTCATGGTCAATTAACTATCACTATAAATACGGAAAAATTAAACGACAGTTAATTTTTGCAATATTTTGAGCATTTTTCCGATAGTTCCTTAGATCACTGCTTCAGTGAGGATGATTTGTGTTAGCGGCATGCATTCCAACTTAGAAACAGTCCGACTGCTCAGCTTTCTTTTCTTTAGATACCAATTAGATGTCATAATTTCCCTTATATTTAAATGAAACCTGTTGAAAAATCTTGGAAGCTGTATGTTGAGTTTCCCATACTGTCTCTCTCTCTTCAATAAAAGCTTTATTTCTTCATCGCTGTTCTGAATTTTTGGCTTAGTGTGCAAGCACTTGCGAATTTCTTGAAAGAACGTACGCTAGAGAATAACAAGATCTCAAATTATTAAAAAAAAAAAAAAAAATACCACGGGTGGGGTTTGAACCCGCGATCAGTGTGTCTCAAAACTACAAACCGTCGCGTTAGCCACTGTCCTTGACTGTCTGGTCAACCAAGTTGTTGCTGTTGGAAACCCGCCGGCCCATATCCATAACAGCCTGGTTTATCCGAAACACCTCAGCGGTAGTGATTCAGTTTCTTGTAAATTTCTACACTTAGTTACTATAGAAGCATGGTAATTTTATCGTCAACTTTTCTGACCTAGGACCTTGGTCACTCCGACATTTGGAGTGACAGTCTCAGGACAAAGTTTCTAACAAAAATAGTTTTTAGATATTTTTCTCCAACTACTTGTCGGATTCACATACTTTTATTACCTGCGATGCTCGTTCCAGCTTTTTTTTTATTATCGTCAGTTTTCCATGGTCGATTTGGAGGCCTTTATTGTTCATAGATTAAGTCTTTCAAGTCCTTTGAAGAAACTAACAAGCTAGTTTGTGTTCATCCTTTCTATTCTCTAATGGCTGCATGAAAAAAAATTCCCCTGACATGAGGCAAGCTTGCCCCCCCCCTTCTTTCTTTCGGAGCTGTATAATTCGTCCCCCTTCAACCCATTCTTTAAAATCAGAACTTTGTTTTAAACTTTTAGTGCGTCAGTTTCTGCGCTACATAAGCATAGAAATGAAGAACTTTTTATATTTATATATATTTATATTTAGGTATCCGCCAATAACCAAATTACATAAACGGGACGATAACGTCTGGCAGCGAGGAAGACCGTAGTTTCTAAATAATTGGAAACCACGTGCAAGTTATTTACTGCAGAGGACCGGTTTTTCCCCTCTGTGGTGTTCAGTAGTCGTGTCCAGACTCAAGTGAAACCAGGTCTCAGTTATTTCTTATCGAAATTTTGAGTCATCTGAAGACTCATCGTACTTTCACTTAAGGAAAAAATAGTGAAATATAGTTAATGCGATTGTTATTGGTTAATGTTTACTTTATGCCAGGGTGTTTTTATATAAATTCTCCGGTGTCAAATGCGTCCTATAATAGATACATATATTCAGTGCCTCAAAACTAACATAGCAACCTAACCTTCCTAACATTTAATATAAAACAACTTTTTAATCTGCTTAGCCTTTTAAATAATTTTTATTATATTTGTGAGTGCTAAATCCGTAGGGGTCATTTAACGTCTGGGGGAACGAGAGTACTCTGGTTCAATCCAAGGGAGAGCACATGTTCAATTCCTTAGATCAGGAGCCCTTTACCGACACTAAGGAACTTCCTTTGAGGGGTTAGCCTTCTTAAGAATTTGCACAACTACATTTCGCTGTTTTCCTTGGGTGGGGGGGGGGAGAAGAAAGGAAGTCGAGAGAATAAAGAGCACACTGATGAGAAAGGGATACTTCTCAGGTGATCCAAGTTTCAGTTATCTGGCAGAATATAAATGAATCATTAGGATCGTGAATAGCATACCATTAGAGAATGTATAACCGTAGGCCTACACTGCTGCTACTTCTATATTAACCTCCTGAACACTAAAGTATGGTAAATCATGATATAAATTGCGTTTGGGAGTGATCTGCTGATACACTATATATAATAAGGCTTCACAGGTTTTGCTAAGTTTGTAGAACTTAAGTTTTCTATATAATAATATAATAATACAAATTCTCGTGGGATTTTATGTAGGTAATGGTACAACTCACTTATCAAGCAAGAGCAGAGTCGTTTTTTGACGGTAGTAGCTGCTTGCATGTTTAAGTAATGAAGACAGAATGGCATATAACGGTGCAGTGTGGCAATTATAGTAGGGGTGTTGGGAGATACATTACCCTACTTCCCAGTACTTTCTAATAACCATAAATTTAGAACTCCTACTTGAGCAATATACACTGGTTCAAGACACTTCAAATTTATATACAAAATAAATATATTAAAAGATTACTGGGACTGGGCATGTTGGGCTAAATAATAAATGGCCTTGCTGGTGTGCGCATGCTCCCAGAGGACAGAACGAACCCCCACACATACACACGCCGGCGACTGACGTGTGGACCCAAGCTGCTCACTCTCACCATCTTAATGCTAAACAAAGCTAAACAAAGTCTCTGTTCAGGTTATGTATTTAAAATGCATGCTACACAGCTATATGAAACTGGTACAAAAATGTAAAAGATGCTAGCTCACTCAATGGATACTCCATGAAAGAAAAGACCACCTGTCAAGTTGCTGGTGCAGATTGCATCACAATGTTGCGAGCACGTACTTCCCATACACTGATTCATTATCTTAATCCAGTTCATGGTGCCAATGGTGGCACCAAAGCGGCAATGCCAATGTGCAATCAGGGAAGCAACTCTTAAGGACTGACAGCACAAACACCTGTGGGCTGAAGGCCGCCAGATCTGCACCTCAGTACTATTTCACTTAATTTAAGTTCTTCAGTCACTATCGAGAGTTCACAATCACGTCTTCCTCCTCATTGATTTTCTCGTCGGAAGTATGGCTCATCACAGGCACGGGGATCCTAACAAGATGAAGAGGAAGATGTCAAGCACATTCTCAAATAGCCGGAAGCCTCAACTAAAATAGGTTTTTCCAAGAAGTGCGTGTTGATGGCTCTAGTTGGGATCCCTGACACTGCTTTAATAATGGGCAGTCACTTGGCTCATTCACACAACGTACTTTTTCCACACCTCCACGAGTGTATTAAGATAGCGGCAAGAGTCGTATAGAGACACCTAAACACAAACACCACTACGCCACAACTTGCTTCACGGGTTCCTGTGGACCAACTCCCTCGTTATGCTCAATACGATATATTTTTTCCTAGTAATTACACATGAATAAAGAATTATCGGGTAAAACTAATAGATGGAGACATTAAAAAGTTCGCGCTCACTGTTTATTTACATTCTATTCAAATCACTAACACTGAAACGCGTCTGAGTGAAACGAATCAACAGCGCAACCCTTCACTGTCGACTGTTGGGCAGACACTGTCGAGTCCAGTGTGTGGGAGAGAATTGGGGGGGGGAAGAGGAGGAGGCTACCAAAGGCTGCCAGTTCTCTAAGTTGCCACAATTTCTTTCTTTGGCATTATATTTACCTTCATAAACTTACCTTTATAAAAAATTTAAATATAAATCCACTATCCGTATAGTACGTCCTACGGTGTTTCCCCAGTGAATACACCCGTCTATTGGAGGATATCGCATCGCAGGAGCTTATCAGCGCTAGGTTGCGGCAGCCACTGTAAAAGAATATTATTTTTCCATAAAGTTTAGCAGGAGTTTTTGTTGGCATCATTGATGTTTACGTAATCAAAATAAACAGAAAATGCATCGCACTGATCTGCTAAAGTTATAAAATTTTAGGAATAGACGAGAAGATTGAAATCCTGTTACAAAAAACAGCTATGTGGGTAGTCTTGTGCGAGGCTTCAACTTCAGAATTTTCTACATAATACATTTTTATCGCTTTGTATAAATATTTATGTTAGTCATTTATAAGTAACTGTTAATCCTTCTCCACTTTAACCACTGAAACGTAACGAAAACTCTTGATTTAATCGATCGGGAAAGAAACTGCAAATCTTTTCCCCACATCTGAAGTCCTTGGCTCACCACATGAACCCAGAGAGGTCGCTCTGACGCTGCTATGTTACTCAGAGGCTCCTCTAGGTTACCTTACATCCATATTTCTCGTCAGTGTCCCTAGATCCTACAACATGTAGAAGTTCCACTTGTTCAAAATTACTAAATTCCCATGTTTACGCAAGGCGGCTCATAGTAGCGACTTCGGCTTACACCCAAAGAATTCGGGTTCAGTTCTGGGGCGGGCTGAAGACGTGCGCATTTCTTACACCTGCTATCTTTGATATCGGTGAGGGGTTCTTCATCTAGAGAAATTGCACCTATCCTCCCTTTCCTTGAATGGAACCTGATTAGCTCCCATCCCACAGGCGTTGTATGACCCTTACGGGTTACAACAACGACACATAGATTCGTAATAACACGATTGCAAACAAATTACAGAATAGATGGGGTTCGAAACCATGGCAAGTGAGTCTTGAGATTCACTACCCTGTAAGTTTGAAGACTCGCCTACCATGGGTTCGACCCTCACCCATTCTGTGATTTCAACAACAATAATAATAATAATAATAATAATAATAATAATAAAATAATAATAATAATAATAATAATAATAATAAAATAATAATAATAATAATAATAATAATGTTTACAGTGTAGCAAATGATAGCCGGCTGTTGTGGGTCGCATCCGGGGGAAGAGGAATAAAGGGTTCCAGTGGAAATATTCCGAATAACAGTTATTTTGTAGATCCTGCAACATATGGTTTTTTACTTGCTCAAAATCAATAAATTTTGAAACTTATAAACATTTTTGCCTCTTCATTATCAACAGATCTTGCAACGTATATTTTTACCTGCATATAATCACCAGATCTTGCAATATATTGATGATTTTACCTGTTCAATATTATTGTATTCTGAAACATGCAAAAATATTTATAATCATTTATCTTGCATCAACTACAGAGGTTGGCGTCAATGGAATGACGTATAAGTGTGTCAATGCTTATAGACGTGCCAATGGCATTTGCTCATAGATGCGTCAGTGGAATTCGCTTATAGATGCGTTAATGGAATGTGCTTATAGATACGTAAATAGAATCTGCGTATAGATGCGCAAATTCCGCCGAACGTTTACACGCCTTGCATTTAAGATAAGCTTTATTTAGAACACTAAAATTCTACACACGGTTTTTGCATACGTTTATAGATATACAATGGTTACAATGAGCGCAGTACTTTTTAGGTATACATTAGTGGTAAATAAGCTAGTGTTACACCAGAATAACTCCCCAAAAGTTCAAAGAGCAATTTATATCCTTTGGGGTCCTCTTTCTAAATCATGTACTTGTGTATGCCGTCTTCATATTCAATACAATGATACTAAAGATGATACGAAAAAGTTCAACATGAAATTAGATACAACAACCATTTGCATGTAACTATCACGATATTACATTACTGTAAATATAATAAATTACTTTCTTATTTTTCTGTAGCTGGAATCATGGGGTACATTTTTTCTAAGTATTCTGAAGAAGCATATCATTTTTGATGTATATACATTGACAGCAGCAGCCCTTATACACCGAGTAGTGTGTATTTCAATATATATACACTTGGAGTTTACCTGAATTCCAACATTAAAATATGTACTTGACTAGCGGTGTACAGGTGATATACAGTTTTAATAACTCTTGTGTAGCTGACATTATTTAAACTTAATAAACCAACTAAACATGAGGTACTCATCATCTTTAGTCATAAATTAATTTATTTCCTCTCTGGCCATGGCAGTTATCAAACTAATAATAACTATCAGAATGTGTGTCCAATTGACACGAGATAAATATATCAATGATATCTCCATTATTGCTGGTCCACGCGGACCAGCCCAAGCTCATGTTCTCAGTACTATTTTTTTTGGGGGGGGGGGGCATAACAGATTAACATATGCCTCAGGGACAAAAAGAACAGAAGTAAAATAATCATTACTCATTATCACCGTCACAGTTCTGTCAAGTCGTGCACACGTCATGCTTGAGCTTTCACTGCAGCAATTTGTGACGAGTCTGCATAGTTTTTGCTCCAGTCAGTTGCTGTATCCGCATAGCAAATGTGTTCAAACCCCCCTCGTCCTAGGACCACCGCCGGTACTAGTGTTCGAACACTTGTCAGGGTCACTACTGCTACACTTGTTCGAACACTGCTCAAGATCACTATTGGTGCAAGTGTTCAACACTCGTTAGAAGCACCACTGGTGAAGAGTTCATATACGTACGCCTCAGAAGCACCAATGGTAGAAGTATTCGAAAACCCCTCTTTAGCACCACTGTTACAAGCGTTTTTTCACGCCTCATTAGCATCACTGGTACAAATGTTCTTACACGCCTCATTAGCACCACTGGTACAAGCATCCTTACAAGCCTCATTAGCACCACTGGTACAAGTGTTCTTACACGTCTCATTAGCACCACTGGTACAAGTGTTCTTACAAGCCTCATTAGCACCACTGGTACAAGTGTTCTTACATGCCTCATTAGCACCCCTGATACAAGTGTTCTTACACGCCTCATTAGTACCACTGGTACAAACGTTCTTACAAGCCTCATTAGCACCACTGGTACAACTGTTCTTACAAGCCTCATTAGCACCACTGGTACAAACGTTCTTACATGCCTCATTAGCACCACTGGTACAAGTGTTCTTACACGTTTCATTAGCACCACTAGTACAACTGTTCTTACATGCCTCATTAGCACCCCTCATACAAGTGTTTTTACACGCCTCATTAGTGCCACTGGTACAAGTGTTCTTACACGTCTCATTAGCACACTTTAATCCCTATTTAATGATTTAAGACATTTACAGTACTTTGGTGTATAAGTTACACGCAATATTAATCGCCCTCGTGCAGACAACAGACTTAACCCTAATAAACCAAACTAAGACAATTATTACCAGTGGGGGTTTTCGGTTGTTCCCTGGTATTTCTGCAACGTAGTATCTGACAGCATATTAGAGTGTAGTTCTTAGTGTGTAACAGGTTGAGTATGTGGTGGTGGTTTAACTTAAAGCGACATATATAGTAGCAGTAACATACTACATCTCTGTTCTACGTGCAAGAAGGAGATCTACAATTTTTATAGATCTCCTCGCACGTTTTTCGTGGCGGTAATGTGGCCAGAATAAGTAAGATAACCTTCTGCTTTACTATCCTGACCATCAACCATCAAGATAAAACAGTAGTAGGTAGGACAGTAAGTTTAACTTTTCTCGGCAAATAACCTCTCTCTCTCTCTCATTTGCATATTTATCTATTATATTGCCTTCTATACGTAGTGGGCGATACAGCCCCGCCCCTTCTACCTTCCCCGCCACACTAGTCTTCACTGTCTCTCTACCTGCCAGCTCCCTCCTCTCCACCTGTGACATACCTGTGGGCGGTTACAAGTGTTCTTCCTTATATTATATATTATATATATATATATATATATATATATATATATATATATATATATATATATATACATATTTATATATATATATATATATTATATATATATATATATATATATATATATATATATATATATATATATATATATATATAAAATATTATATATATTATAGGGAAGTACCACCTCTGTAGCTGGACTGGGGACCCTCATCCTCAGAGAAGACAATAAACGTACCTCAGGGAAAACTCAAGGTTCTCCCCGGGAGGTGTTTGAATATTTTCTTCTCCTACCATATATATTTATATATATATAATATATATATATATATATAATATATATATATATATATATATATATATATATATATACATACATATCATGCCGAATAGGTAAAATTGGTCAATTAGTAAGAACTCATTTAAAATTAAGTCCTTTCTAAAATTTTCTCTTATGCGTTTAAAGATATATTTTTTCATTTATGTTAATGTAAAAATTAATAATTTTGAACCAAAAGATCTTTAGAAAACTTACCTGACCTTATTATAACTAGCGCAATTTAATTCAGCCTGATCCAACTAAATATATTTTTGGTAAGTTTACAATAATTTAATAATAAACAAACACAATAAAATATATATATTTTTTCGTTAGGTTCAGAATGTTTTTTGCGAAATTATTGCATACACAAATTTTCGATTGCCTTATTCGGCAAGAAGTGAGTTGCTATTTAAGACCCAAATCGCAAGTTTTACCTATATATATATATATATAATATATATATATATATATATATATATATATATATATATATATATATATATATATATATATATTTATATATATATATATATATATATATATATATATATTTTATATATATACATATTTATTATATATATATATTTATACATATATATATATATATATATATATATATATATATATATATTAATA